TTGTCCAGAGATAATTATATAGCATAAATATACAAGTAAACTACTTAGAGTCTGCAATGTTGAAGCAGAGTCAGTGGAACACTTAATATGTATCTGTGACTTATTACCAAGTACGCGTCTGTTCCTCATGACAATGACTTGATTTCAGTGGAACTGACCTTTTCCAGCACACACATATAACCTATATTTATTATTATAGCTTTTATTCAGATCAACTTAAATGACATTATTTTCTAAAACAAACTAGCAACTTCTCTAAATTAAAAACGAAAAAAAATATTGTAGCATTTGGATCTTATTTACTTTCTGCAGATCTATTTGACAATCTCAAAGGCCACCTTCAATTGTTTCGATACTCCTCTTTCTCGAGTCCCTCTGTTCCACATTATTATAAATAAATATAAAAAAATCCCGTATGAGTGACCGCATCTCTCTTTTAAAGGCTCTGCTAACATAAAAACTCCAAATTTGCTCACATTCTCTATAAATTATTTCATAACTATATTATCTGTGAATAAAAAATATTAATGCTAACTATGTAATACTAACTGCGTTCGTGACTTCACCAGCGTGAAAATAGCTTATGTGTTATTTTGATGTATATGTTACTGTAAAGTTTTATCAAAATGATTATATTTTGCGTGAAAGAGTAAGGAACATCCATCTCGTCTTTCCATGCATACTCACAAATATCTGCCTTAATAATATTAATAAAATTGATTGTAAATATGTATTATAAAAAAAATCGCCTAATCTAATAAATACACAGTCACGATAACAAATATTTGAGTTTTCTGTATACTCTCAACGATTCATTAACTACCGTTTGTTTTCCATCGCAATTGAATTTTACCTGAGAATACATTAATATTAAAAGGCTTTCTTTGATAAAATATTGTTAAAATTTACCTACTTATGGCACTCCAAACCAAAGGAGGGACTTACGGAGCGGCTGAAGGCCAACTCCCGCCTGTACACCACCATATATGTTATATTTCGCAGCAGCACCAGAAAGAGGACGGTGAAAGGATGAGACCAGTCGTGGCTTTGTATATATGTGTATTCTTGTGTGTTATCTAAAAAGTGTTTGAAACAATAATATAAATAGAAAATATATAATATTTGATATTACACTATGCATATGCATATAATATAAGCACTATGGGGGGGGGGGGCATTACTTTGCTTATTTTGGATGATATGGAGGTGATGATAAATGACTGGTCTGTATGTATACTGATGATAATGAATGGTAAATAACTAATAAATGGTAAATAGTGGTAGTTATTTACTTTTTTATAAAAAAAGGTTTACGAATAAGAGCTTTCCTTACTTTTGCTGACAAGGGGGATGGGGGGTAAATATTTGTAATAAATCTGCTTACGTAATACCTGTTACTTAGTCCTCCTTATCGTCGTTAGGCAACGTTGGAGCTGCACGGTATCCGTATATTCGCCACTTCTACATATTGATCTTAACAATGATTCTGTTTTCTCTATCTGGGAAAACATCCATCAAGACGACGGCCTCAGTGGTCTAGCGGTTAATCAGGCCGTATTACAATGGTCACGCATTCGATTCTTCGCGCCGTACAAATATTTGTATTCATGAGCTGGATTTTTCTTATATATTACATGTATATTTAGGGAAATAAACGTATTGAGTATGTCTAGTGTTAATAACACAAGATCTGCTTAGCTTGGTACTAGATGGCACGGTTTGGGTTGTCCTGGGGTATTATTATTCATAATATAAGTAGTAGTTATTTAAATGTAAGTCAGTATAATAGATTAAGTAACTTTACTATGATAAACACCTTTTTTATCTAGTTTCGGTATGTAAGGACATGTATGTTATCGTAAAAACACCTTTACTACACATATACAATATATTGTAAACAATAGATAGGGATAATCTTTTAATGTATATTTATCATAACAACATATATAATAATAATTAACAATAATTACACTGTTATTTTTTCTATTTGAGTATTTAATTGAATTAGTGCTAATTGGTGGTTTGTATTCACACACTTAAACTTAAAAATGTTAAGTAATAATAAAATTATTTAAAAGAGCAACACGCAAGTTTCTTGTTCGTTCTTCTTGTGATGAGACAGCTTTCCGAACGAGTGGTAGATTAAAAAATGTAATGACTATTCAAAAGTGCTTCAATGTAAGTTTATTTGAATAAATGATTTTCTATTCTATTCTATTCTACTGTCGTGGGGGCAGGGGTATGCTGTTTTTAATGGATGATAATGTAGGTTACCACAACGTTATTTAATTTTGTTATGTCCATGTTGCTGTTGGTGTATATTGGCTAACAGTTTTTTTTATGGATGATAATTGAATAGTGCACCCGCCTGCTCTAACGGTACACGCTGGCAGTGCACCAGTGGAGGATGATAAGATGATCATGAGATAAGGTCAGTTAGCACCTCGTGACGAAGGATCCTGCTAGGTTAAGTGCACTCGTGTCTGATGAAGGGTTCATGCCTAAATATTCATCCTTTGTATGTTATTTTCTATATACTCAATATCACAACCCTAATCTCTATAGTAAGGGAATAATGGGAGTGAAACCCCTTCAAGATATCTTAATGAAAATGAAATCATATATGACTATAAATTAATTATAATATATTTTTTTAAGAAGTTTGTAATATTAGAAACTGTAAAAAACGTGAACTATATTTTTGGGGGTGGTTTTTTATACCAACCCTTAGTGTGTCACTTTGGGGGGCTATCAAAAAATAATATATACCATTATCTATTATGGTAACTATAATAGTTACCATCATCATCTGCTTCTTCCTTATCCCATTTATTTAGTTACTATAATAGTATGAAATGCTTTACGGATACTTGTTAAAGTAAATACAGACTCATTTATGTTAATACTAAACGTATACTCATTTTAATGACATAGTACTCTAAATACCATATTCATAGTGTAACATGCATATAATGAATCAATTCGTATAATTTCTCGGAATCGTTAAACATATTCATTGATGATATAACATGATGCAACAATAATTACACACAAGGCCAGAAATGTAATTCATAACTAGATAACCCGAGCTACGGTCGCCCAGGACAGTGTTGCCAGATGATCTGGCATTCCTATCACATTTTTATACAACTTTTATAAAATGTAACTTAATAGGTAAGTTTTGTGGAAAAATCTCCCTAATAAAGAAGTTATGTATACTGACGATATTAGTTTTGGCCCCCTAATAAATAAGTTATATACCTATATTAGTTGTGGTTGCTTTCATATGTGATACTAATGATCTTTATTTAGTTTAGGTCGCCACTTCTTGTGTTCGTTTACCAAAATTCTAGGAATTTTCCCTAATATACCACTTCCTAAATGCATATGTGTGAGACATTTATACCCTCAAAATTTAAACCTATGGTCACAAAATCTCCACTATAATTTGAGGGAAAACCCCTAATCTGGTAACACTGACCCGGACCGGACTGAAGGACACTCCACTTTAGTATTACAGCTTCAATAAATCAGAATAAAGCCTGACAGGTGACTTCATTGAACTGAGTTATTATATTACATGCTATAATTTTTAATCCACTTGTGATACTAATGCTTTTTTTTTTTTATTTAGGCCGCCATTATCTTGTCATGTTCGTTTACGAAAATACTATGAATTCAATCTTTCCCATCACATCAAAATTATTCACTCAAATTTTAAACCCATAGCCATAAAATCTCCATCGTAATTTGGGGGAAATCTCCAATCTGGTAACACTGGCCTGGACCGGACTGAAGGACACTCCACTTTAGTATTACAGCTTCAATAAATCCGAATGAAGCTTGACAGGTGACTCCATTGAACTGAGTTATTATATTACGTGCTGTTGTGCAATTATTACCTACTGGTATTAAGCCCGAATTTAATAAACGCTCGGCGTCATATTTAAAGTTCACGAATGGAGATTTATGGGCAGCATATGCACATATGAAAGAATTCAGAGATTGTTCTTACTGATTGTGCATAAATAATGTAATAAATAAACTCTTGGACATATCATATAGTGTTCAATATTATGTACATATACTCTTATTTGTAACTAGTGTAGCCCGGGACTTGTATGTTTATTTATTTTTTGTTAATCACCATCTGTTGTTGATAACTCAATCAACAATAATAATTAAAGAATCGGATTATACAATGTACATCTATTACTTTATCATCATTACATAGTATAAAACAAAGTCGCTGTCGCTGTCTATCCATATGTATGCTTAAATCTTTAAGACTACGCAACGGATTTTGAAGCGGTTTTTTATAATAGATATAGATTATACATATAATACTGTATACCCGTGCGAAGCCGGGGCGAGTAGCTAGTTAATAAATAAATTATTAAATTGTTAATAAATAAATTATTAAATTGTTTGTTCACTGGTGAGGTTGAACAATGGGACTGACATGTATTGAAAATATTCACAATGTTAATTACTTTATTTTTATACATCTTTCTTTAGCCTATTTGTTGAGTCATATTTCACAACAAATTGTATGAAAATTATATCCTAAACACATAATGTTAATACACATACATGGTATATGTTTGTATGTCGTAAATGTCTACTCTGTGTTATCCGCCTAGATTTATGTATGTATGTGTATTATTTTATTATATATGAAGGTATCCGCTGAAAATCAGCGTCCTGGCACCCCGTCACGACATATGCTGAGCGGAGACCTATTTGGTACTGTAATTATTAATATAAAAATGAAAATTAAATTTTAAAAATTATTTTCAGTGTACCAAATAAACAATTTTCTTTCTTTACATACAGAGAAGGGAGAGTGTTGTTAGTAACGAGCATCCCCTTGCTAGTGCACTATGCACATATGTCAGATTTCTCTCCCCTAGTAAAAATCGGAATTGATTCCTTGTGAATTTGTCACAATGGCCAACAAATACTTTTAACAGCTTTATAAGTATATATTTAGTATGTACCTTGCACGCAAAAAGCGCATTCTGCCAGGTGGCCTTATTCTCGCTGAAGAAGTAACAGCTGTGCCCGAGCCTGATGAACTGCGGGGGGCACACGTATGACATCTTGGTTGAGTTACGGTGGCCTTCCACTGCTATGTCTGTGAAAGAAATATCATTTTATGCATCAAAAAGACAGAGCAACACAATAATTACTATAAATTATATATATACAACGAATTCAGTTATTTTTATATTGTTCTGTAAAGGAAATATCATGTTATGAGTCAAAGTAACAGAATATCGCTATAATAATAATAATCTCAGGACAATTCACACAGCGTCATCTAGACCCAAGTTAAGCTAGCTAAAGCTTGTGCTATGGGTACTAAGATAACTGATACAAATACATAGATATTTTTTTTGTAAATACATACATACACCCAGACCGATACAAACAATCATACTCATGAATACAAATATTTGTGCCGTGCGAGGAATCGAACCCGCGACCATCGGTATAAAGCGGTGTGCTACACCGCTAGACCACTGAGGTCGTCACTCAATCACTGTAAATGATATACGAACTGAGATATTTTTTTATATTAATTAAAAAGACTAATTTATGATTGTTTGCCACTTATGTTATATCTTTTTTAATACACTAACTGGCAAACGTAATTTTGCCTGCATCAACGTAACTTTCCCGTTTTGCAACAATTTTCAATAAAGCTCGGCTCCATTGGTCGTAGCGTGATGTTATATAGCCTATATCATTCCTTGATAAATAGGGTATGTAACACTAAAGGAAATTTCGAAAAAAATCGAAAGGTTAACTAGATTCCAAAATAATCTTCTACAACTTCACAAGTATATATAGTTAAGAATTAAGAAAGTTAATTAGGTATATTGTTGTATACAAATTAAGTAATTTTTTATAAGTATATATTATCACCTCACCACTGTAACATTATTTAGTATTTCTAGGTAGTGAGTATATCGGTGAAATAATTGTACTACTAATTGTACATTAGTAAGTTTATTTAGTAGTGTGCTACATGGCTTATTACTACTAACTATTCAGAGTTGGAAAGTGAACTGTTTTACACTGAGCTTAAAATATGGAGACTCAAGGTCTCAAATGTTGACAGAATTATTGTGTGTAGACACATATTTAACTGCAGCAAAGCTCCTATTGGTCGGAGCGTGATGTTATATACATTATATAATTCCTCGATAAATGGGCTATGTAATACGAAAATAATTTTCAAAATCTAAGTAGAAATTAAAAGTAGGTCCTAATATTATTTTCTACAACTTCACAAGTATAGATACTTAGTTAAAGCATTTGAAATTTTGATAACAAAATAATGTGATGACATAGAAACAAGATTTAGAATATAGTTCACCAGTATTAGACGATAAGTGTCATAAATAAAGTAGAATTAGTATGACATTTACTAATGTTGATAAAGAATTATCGTATTGAAAATTGTTAGGGTTCATGAAATTAAGTTCATACAAAATATTATTTAGAATTTTAAAAAGGTTAAAGTGAAATTTTATCAATTAACATTGCATTGAAATAAATTACACTACATTGTTTATTATATATGTTTATTAGGTCGTATAAATTATTTTTTATTTCTTAAAAAAATGATATTTTATAATTTATTACACTTTACACAGTTCCGGACTGTGTTATTTTATTTTATAACATTACATAGTATAAAACAAAGTCGCTGTCGCTGTCTGTCCGTCCCTATGTATGCTGAAATCTTTAAAACTACACGACGGATTTTTTTAGTAGATAGTGATTCAAGTGGAAGGTTTATATATATAATACATGTACCCCGTGCGAAGCCGGGGCGAGTAGCGTGTATATAATAACAAAGTCCGGAGCTCTTCATTATTTATCGTTTATTTATTAATATATATAGATAAGACTTTTTATTTGTATCTTAGTATAGGTACAGTAATAGCCGTAATTACAAATGTTATGCAATAAAGATTATTTAAACCAATCCAATAGATTATGGGTAAACCTGCATGTGTATGCTACAGCAATAAAACATGGTTCATAGCTCAGTGTGGAGAATCACTCAAGGAATACAATATGTAATAATTTTCAGCAATATCCTCGAGTGTGAATGTACTTTTTAAAAACAATTTAAAAAAATGCCGTATGAAATAATATAAGATAAATAAATAATAAAGAAACTTGCAGTAGATGTTATTCATGTAATAACTATTACTATATAATAATATTCCAGAAGAATTCACACTGCGCCATCCAGTCCCAAGCTTGTGTTATGGGTACTAGACAACTGATACAAATAAATACATACTATTTTCTCGTTTCTGTAAATGCATATATAATATACATAGAAAATACCCAGACCGATGCAAACAATCATACTTAAGAATTCAAATGTTTGTGCCATGCAAAGAATCGAACCCGCGACCATCGGAAGTAATATAGGAATAGGAATATTTTTACCGATTATCTTTATCATGACACATTGTTTTATTATTGGTCCTTTATACAATTATTAAGTCAAAACGTTCAGACAAACAAAAGTGCCAGTTCCCAACGTGGCGTCAGCCGTAAAAGGTCACAAGTAGGGGAACCGCTTCAGAGATATGCAAACTAGTTATATTTCAAGGTCAAGTTCATCCCAAAAAAGCGGACAGTCGGCCGTGGGTTGCATCTTGTGCTGTTTTTAATTCGTTAACAAACACTCGTGACATCCTTGTATAAATCTTTATTTACAATATTTTTAATCTGTCCTATAATCATATTAATTACTAGCTGTTCCCGCGACTTCGTCCGCGTAGAATTTAACTTTATTTTTCTAAAATATAAGTAACCTAAGTTACTCCTTTTACATCAGCTATCTGCCAAATAATGTCCTGTCAAAATCGGTCCAACCATTTCAGAGATTAGCCCGAACAAACAAACGGACAAGACAAAAATTGAAAAAAATGTTATTTTGGTGTATGTACCGTATTTATTCATATACATGTAGTAAAAAACGGTTATTTCAATATTACAAACAGACACTCCAATTTTATTTATATGTATAGATATAAATAAGTTTTTTTTTTATCTTTAAGAATGTAAACTAAGTCCCATGTAACAGCTTGTTATATATAGTTACTAACTTTTCCCGTAAGTCCGTCTGCACATTTTTTAAAAGAATTAATTAATTCAGTGTCAATTTAGATTATGTTAAAATTATACAATTTTTGTTACTAATAAATTCATCAACACTATAAAAAGACTGTGCCAACAGAAAATAATACAACCTGCCCTCAAAATGTTTTCCAATTATGTATTGTCCTTAAATTTTTGGGTAAAGAGTCAAATAACTTTTGTTCTTGGAAACCTTCCTTCACAACATTAAGGGTCGGTTTTATAATACTAGGTAAATATTATCTTATCTGTGATACTAGGGTACTACCCTATGTACTCGCAGTATGGACTATCCATACTGTGAGTACATTTTACAAACATATTTGATATAGACAGCAGCTTATGTCCGGGATACAATATATCTTCACGTCAAATTTCATTATCATCGGTTCAGCCGTTTAATTGTAAAAAGATAACAAACAAACAGACCATCTGTCTGATCAACTACCTTCGCATTTATAATATTAGATTTATAATTTAAAGATTGCGTTTTAAAGAAAGCAAATACAGAGAAAGTGTAAATACAATCTCTTTAAAAATCTTGTTTTATATATACCGTTGTATTCAGAAAAAAAAACAAGGAAAGTCTGGGAGCTGTTACTTTCAATGGGTTATAAGTTGGCAATAAAATACAGACGAGCTCGTAAAATCTGACGAGATGCTGAGATGTGGTAAATCGCGCACTTTATGTGCTAAACTTTCGTAGTTACGTTGACAGACAATCGGAAAATTCGATACGAAAAATGAATAAGTGCCACTACAACATATTTCCCAATTTTGAATTACAAATTGAATATTTTGTCTTATTTATAACATACTAGCGATCCGTCCAGGTTTCGCACGGCTGCGTTATAAATCTTTGAATTTCTCGTAGTGTTCTATCACTCCATGTATTGCTGAAAATTGCATTAAAATCCGTTGGGTATAATATAAAACATATAAGCGAATACACACCGGCGGCAACTTTATTTTACTGTGTAAAGATATTTCACAAAATTATAAGGTACTAGTCAAAGAAGACTAGTACTACAAAGTCAGTAATTATAGTTTACTCATCGTAAATGTAGAGTTATACATCAAATATCATTATTCCATATGATTTTGGAATTTACTTCTATTGTATTGCACAGTTGTTTTAAATGCTTGATTTTGAATTATTGATTTAGAAAATGTTTTTTTTTTCAAATATGTTTTTCGATTTCAGAATATTTTCAATATGAAGGTAATTGAAAAAGGACTTAAATAATAATAATAACTCTAGATTAACATGTAGTACCAAACTAAACAGAGCTTGTGTTATAGGTATTAGGCAATTGATAGATATACTTAAATACAAACAATCATACTCATGAATACAAATGTTTGTACCGTGCGAGGAATCAAATCCGCGACCAGAGAGACATTAATGTATATTAGACAAATGTTTATGATTAATTATGATAAAAAATATTTAATTGAATCAATCAATTAATATCAAATACCATCTGTATTCTGTTATGTTACGTAATAACAGTTCTTATGAACTAGGTAATAAATTTCATAATAAATGCTGTCGGACACAATTAGTGAGAACATGCTATAATTTCAATTATTATTGAGACGAAGTCAGTGGTACAGTGGTTTAGCATATTGCATTACTTTACAATGATCACGGGTTCGTTTCGTTCGTTACAAAATCCCAATACAAGTAAGTCAAATATGTCAAATAACAATATTAATAATTATAATGAGTGAGGGGCCGTTCAAGTATTACGTAAGCACTATGAGGGGCCAGGGTCTTTGCTTTGCTTATTTTGGATGACAAGGGGGGTAGGGGAGTATATATGATTACGTCATCGGTAGTTATTTACTTTTTTACAGGAATGCCAACCTTCACATTGTCTCTGCTAAAAAATACATTTTTTTTTCGAACTACTCTAATGCTGTTGGCCGTAGCTGGCCTTAACAGCTTCACCGGACGTTAGGTGCGAGTGCAGATGACACTCCAAACCCGCGGAAGGACTTATGGAGCGGCTGAAGGCCAACTCCTAACTGACGGATACGACTTTAGTCTGAGGGCACCACTAGGGTTCGAACCTCGGCTCAGGCCGTCGTAATTTCGATCCCCGTTTCAATTGGACGGGGGATCGATCGGAGGGGATATACATTAACAGAAAATGTTTACGTAAGTATGGGGGGGGGCTTGCTTACTTTTGCTGACGGGGGTGGGGGTAAATAATTGTAATATATTTGTTTACGTAATACTTGAACGGCCCCTGAGGACAACTCACACAGCGCCATCTAGTCCCAAGATAGCTCTGCTTGAAGGGTACGACTGATATAAATATATTATTATTGTTCTTCGGAATGGAAATGTTAATCATTAGAACTAGTGGTTGACAATATACAATATCAGGTCGTCTCCACGTGTTACCCGGTAGTGGTTGTTGCCTGGAGAATTCATCAAGATGGGTTATGACTGACTGACTTTATGCTTATTCTATCTTCCTTCACTGGTCCCGCCAGCGCTTAACGTTAGCGTTAGGATCATTCCATCATCATCAATTAAAAACGTGCCCTAGTGTAAATTATATAAAGTTACTAATTTATTTATTATACTTACGTTGACTGCAAAAGATGACTAGTACTGCTATGAAGTATATCCCTCTCCTCTCTAAAGCCTCCATTTTCACTATTTTTTATTACGGATTCTGAACTATTACAAAATATTTATAAAAAAACTGAACTGAATGCGCACAAAATCACTGATACACACTATTATGTCATTTTCACAACTCTACTAATGATTACGAACTTATTATAAAGTGGCAACACTGTGTATAGAGGTGTAATGTTGTGACTATTATCGAATCCGGTAGGTCATCGACTCACAACGATGTCACCTGAAACAAAAGAAATTGAATTATTAATATTTCATGATAATAAAATAATTGTATTCTGAAAAGTAAAATTCTAAAGACATACATATGTTTTGTTAATTGTAAACACAAATTTGTTATATAAATATCGTAGTTGCTTGTGATTAAGGTTGCGCTTAGTATATTAAATATATTGTAATGTGTCATTGTGTTACTGTTGATGTTGGTTAGCTAATGAATAAAAAAAATACTTAATTTATATTAATCAACTTATTATTATTTAAGAAATAAATCTATTAGTTTATTAAAGAAAGAAATCTTTTTCTTTTAATTAAGAAATCTAATAATATTATAGTATACAAATTAAGTAAATTTCAATCAATATACAAATCTCTTGAAAGTTTAAAAGCACCTATTCTAACACGTTAAATAAGTATATAACAGGATTTTACCACGTTGTAATTATAACTATTAAGTTCCTGATATTACGGCATTGTTGCAGTAGCCATGTTCACGGGTAAATTGAAGATCAGCGGATAGATGATAAATTATAGGCAGACATTCGTCTCGACATTTGTTCGTCTCACTACACTCATCTAGGCAAACTATACTCACAATATTATCACTGTATCGAGAACGCAAGAATAACAAATGACACGTTGTAATATTCTGTAACTTTCTTAATTTTACGTATTACGTATATAATTATATATTATGTAATATATTTACAGCGGTAAATACTTGTCATTGTCAGGTATCATTAAAATAAAAACGTGATGTTTCTTTGATCAGTACGCTCTTTGCTCTTTGCAAAATACATTTTCTAAACACTAACTTATCTTGTCGTTTATCTATTTTGTGGGAAATTACAACTCAGTCATATTCTAGGATATAATCGGGTTCTGACTGAAAGATATGGTCAAGTTCTGATTTCTCTATTATATAGATTAACGATTACGAAAATTCCTAAAATTCCTAGCCTGAGAATCCATTTCGCATTAATAATCATATCGCAATATACATAAACACACTAAGCTATCTGTGGAAGCAGTAGCCCTAGTTGTACTATTAGTACCTATACCAATAGAGTTTATGTTCAACAATTAATTTGTATCTAGATATAACTGCTGGTGGAATGGTCCATCTGACCTAAAAACGATAATCATTCTGACGGCCCGATTTCTGCAGCCGTTAACATAGCTTTCTTTGCAGCAATTACTTTCTCAGTCACAGTATCAAATATTTGTGTAATAGTAACATTTAATTGTATTTATGAAATGGAATTAAAATTTATTGGTTCAAAAATGTAGTTAGAGTTTTTTAAATAAATATATAATTTATAAAAATACACATACAATAAATATGATAGGTAAACTGGTCTCCACTCCACGTCTCCATAACTATTGTTTAGGAGTGTCAGCCCCGGCTCTCTTGGTAAAAATGAAACAAATATTTGTGCATTAAATTTATAAAAATTTAAAATAAAGATTCAAATACTCAAGTTTACCAAGTCGGAATGTTTATAACTATTTAATAGATATGTGGACAGGGACGAGTGAAACACAAATATTGCATACACAAATTACATATTTATACAATCGTTTAACAAAGTGCGAACATTAAAAAAAAAAGAGTACAATACGGAATGTATTACAATTTCAATTCCACCTCCAGCAATAAAAATGTAATACAATTTTTATTGGTGGAATTGCGTTGCAATGGCGGATCTATCTCAATAGAGAGAATCAGTCAACTGTCAAATATATGTGAGGAATTATTCATAAGTGATAATAAAAGTATAAATTAGAATTATTAAATATTTCCTATACACCTACCACAGACCAAGTTTTTAATTCGAATGGTTGTCGTGTTTTTGTGGAAATAAATTTTAAATTATTCGGACCATCATGTGTTACAGTTTGTAAACATAAAAGATTTCTGTGAACTGTATTTTATATTCCAAAGATTATTTAGAGATTAAGATACTTTTAAACGCCGAGTTTATACGAAAAAAAAAGATTATACGAAATTTACTGTCGTAAAATCTGTGTCGGCAAGTAATCTACCTTTGTTTAAAATAATTTACGATAAAGAAAGTTGACAGTGCGCACTATGGTGACCGTAGATATTGAAAGGTGAATGTTAATTTGAATTTAAATGCGTGTAAAATATTAATATTCATTTTTAGAATAATGGATAAATATACAAAAACAAATAATAATAATACTCTTGGACATTTCACACAACGCCATCTAGTCCAAAGCTAAGAAGAGCTTGTGTTATGGGTACTAGATAACTAATATAAATACTAAGACATATTTTTTTGTAAATACATATATAATATACATAGAAAACATCTAGACCGATACAAACAATCATATTCATGACTTAAAATGTTTGTAGCGTACGGGGTAATCGAAACCGCGACCATCGGAAGTGGCGGTTTACTTCTAAATTATATAATACTAGTTGTCCCGGCAAACGTTGTTTTACCTTAAATTAAAAAAAAAATTAGGGGTGGACTACCCCTAACATTTAGGGGGATGAAAAATAGATGTTGGCCGATTCTCAGACCTACTCAATACGCTCACAAAATTTCATGAGAATCGGTCAAGCCGTTTCGAAGGAGTATGGGAACGAAAACTGTGACACGAGAATTTTATATATAAGATAACATTCTGAAAATTTCACCATAATTCATCCAGCCATTTACGTGTAATGTATGTAAATCTATGTTTTGTAAGACCATTGAATGAGATGTGTTTCTCTGCTACAAAAATTAATCAATAATGTAACAAGTACCATTAAAATGATGTAAAAAGATATAAAAAATGAAATACATAAATATCAGCCCCGATGGATTTGTAATTGCTAAGAAAAATTGAGATTACTAACGTCAATATTTTTGCTATGCGTTGTAGAATGTACACAGAAATAGAAAAACAGAAAATTTTAGCCGTGTCACAATTCCATGACCTTATTATACGTAAAAATTTCAATTTATTTAGGTATATATAGATCAAAACAAATATATAATATCATAGTATATGCTTGCACATTAGTTTCGCCAATAACCCGCATACGCGCTGTGGTTGAAATTGCAATTATTAAGAGCTTTGAAGTCGCCGAATCTCTAGGAAATAATGACGCGCTTTGTTTAACAAAATTCTTGGCACATTTCGTAAGATATCATTTAGTATTCACCACGGTGTCTGACCTATGCCTTGTAGGGACTTAGAAATGATCGGTACTTTAAGATTATTCGTTGGATTACGTAAATGGCTGGATATAGGAATGTCTTTTAGGGTAAGAATATACTTTGATATTTTTTTAATGGTGTAATGTAAATAAGCTGTCGTTCATCTGATAGCGAATTTTTTTTCTGTTTTTAGTTGCAAATACCTTTACAGTTTTACCGAATGATAGGAGAGAGTGCAGAGGGCACTCCAAATCTGCGGAAGGACTTATGGAGCGACTAAAGGTCAACTTCTGCCTGGATACTGAATTTTGTCTGAGGGCACCGATAGGAGTCTGAACTTTGGGATCAGGCCGTCGTAATTTTGATCCCCGATTGAAATGGATCGGAACGGAAGCAGATGGTGAGTGATAACCTTCTTATGTAGAAATGAATAGCTAAATGATACGACTATTGCATAATATTGTAAAGGCAGTATGAGGGCTATCCTCATTCCCATTCTGGTAGAATAAGTCACTATATTTTTACTGTCACATTCCATCCTTCAATATATATAAAAACTAAATTATGATTCAATGTCATGGTTTATTTTCGATCTTTATTCCAAGCGAAATGAAAACAGCTATTTTTGATTCTTACTAATATTATAAATAATATCGCAAAATATACGGTGCTGTTTCAACTGAGGAATTGCGCCGTAAATCATAGTTGCTATTATGTTTTACCATTTCACTTTATAAACGCAGTCTGGCTGCCGAGGTGTTTTCTAAAGAACCGCATTGACGATGAATGACAAACAAACGTACATCATGTGAAATAATAATAAGTTTTACAATGTATTTGGATTATTATTTTTTTATTGGATATAGACTTGAAGATTATTGGCACACAACGCTCTTCGTGTACAGTATAATAATGGGTTTAGGATGTTGTTGGGGCTCCCTCGGTACTGTAGCGCATCAGAGATGTTTGCGTAATAGAGCTGCATCACTGATGTCTAGAATTCGGGAGAGTATAAACAGCATCCTAACAACTGTTGAGAGTATACCTGATTGTCAGCTCCAGAGGTACTGGATATCGTTGCATTGTGGACCCAGTGCTTCTGGACGTGGACACAGATATATAAATTACATGTATCTCTCTATATGTATATAGTATAGTATAGTTTTTACTAACACAATATGGATGTAATCCGAATTAAAATAAATGATAATTATAATTGGATATAAATTTGAAAAAAGGCATGTATTTTTTATACTACGTCGGCAAACAAGCAGCCCATATGGCCCATCTGATGGTAAACGGTTGCCGTAGCTTATACACGCGGGAAACAATACGGAAATGTTAATTTTATGAGGTGAGAATCCGATTTAGTTGAAATTATTTATGTTTACTACAAATGTTATTCACTAATTAAAAATACTATTACTTTTTTTTCAACTACGGTTTTTTTGTATGGATTATAATGGAATGGCGCACCTGCGCGCGTTAATGATTTAGGCTGGCGGGGCACCAGTGGAGGATGATAAGATAAATATGAGTTCAGGTCAGTTAACCCATCACGAAGGGTTCCAGGGGAGGTCAACCTGAGTAATGGGGTCATGAGTCCATATTACTAACAATTTCCTTCCCCTCTCAACTACCGTATTTGCCAATTCTTCTTATGCCAAAGGTTGGCGATTTCTTTTTTCTAATCGCACTGTTTTCACCCACTCTGGTCAAGTCCGAATGCTACATTCGTAATCGTCTACCTGAATGGCGTCCATTTTTATTCATCGTCAATGTCAGGCTTAATACATATTTATTTATGACCATGCGAGTACTATAC